ACACCTACACCCTGTATAACAACACCAACACCATGTATAACAACACCAACGCCTTGTGGAACAGCAGATATTTTGTGGCAATTTGATGATGACGACGACGATTCTGATGAAAGTGATGAATCCAATCAAACAGTACGAGTGCACACTTCAATAAGTGATTGCATTAATTTGCCGGATGGTACCTATCTCGTAGATCGAAGACTTTGTCATCGCTTCTACGTGTGCCTCAACAAACGTGTACAGACGTTGAGATGTCCGCTCGGCTTTTGGTTTGATAGAGACCTGAATAGTTGCCGTCCTCGCCTTGAGGTGACAAATTGTCGATAGACTCAATAAATATTGCATCGTAAAACCAACCCAACACAGAATGACGATAAATTATCGCATAATTTAGTTTCCAAACACTACTGATCATTATTAAATATTGTGCGCGCATAAAATAATCAATTTTAAACATGTTATAGGCAGCTGCAGTTGCAGAATATGTGTATTATAAAAAGAGCATTCCAAAAATCAAAAATCTCTTAGCGGTTTTATTTGAATTCTCTACAGTCTAAAATATTTCAGTGGATAGCGATACAACGATAGTGACTGAGAAATGAGAAAACACACAACACAAATGTTTTTCTCAATGCTTAAAGCCTCAATAATATTACATTAAGTGGATTGTAAAGGTTGTCCGAATTTAAGTACATATTTCGTACCGCAGTCTCTTACTGAAACTCATTTCACACACAAGCAAATTTTAGCGGGAGAACCACTTCCATCTCTATGGCATGGCATATTTACTCTGAATGATTATATTATGTGAAAGTCGGTAATATTTATATACATATTGTACATATATATATATATATTGGCAAATAAGTAACGTTATTGACAATTAAATATAAGAGCTTGTGTATGCATAAGTTTATTCATATAATAAGTTTATTCGTATAATAGTAAGCTTATATATGCGTACACAAGGCATCACTGCGTCTCGCGTGTATTCCATGGAATGCAGGCATGCATAATTTCAGCCAATCATTTTCGCTCAAGATCTGCTCATTGTTGCATGGCATTGGATATCAGTGCTTGCAAGGGTTGTAAATGTCGCTATTATTAAGCATGCTTATGCAAGCCAATTTGTGCTGAAGTATGTAGCAGTGTGTGTATGTATAGGTTAGGTAGTCATACATGCCATAAATATGTTGATAGAAGTGTTATAGTTCAGTAAGCGTTAAAGAAGTGTGACTTTGACTTGGACCTGATATCTTTAGGAGATTTTGGAGCACCTAAAGGTTCTTTCTGCTCTTAAAATGCCTGAAAATTTTTAACACCGCAGTTATTATTTCCGGGTCTATAAGAGGATAATGTGTAGTTTTTATTAATGGGTGTACAGTAAAATACAAAAAGGTCGTGGGAATATGAGTTATGTTTAAAAATTCTGTAAAAGCTCTGGCTAAACGTGATCGGATTTTAGAGGTATATGCTGAACTAACGTCGCCAAGAATTTTCTATTACAAAACTGTTTGGAAGTGGTTTAACCGTTTTAAGAACATATCGAAATCTCTCCATGACCTTAGAAATTTGCTGGTATAGTTATCTCAATAATATAAGGTTGGAAGGTATCTTCCTTCCGCTTTTTTGTCTTTTGAATTTCGCGGCTATGTGCAAAGTGCTACAGAGCTCGTATCTGGCAACACTATACATAATTTGAAAGGTCT